CCCCATAGCCGGGGCAGCACACCCCCACTTCATCACATCAGACCGATACTGCAACATGGCCTGCTTAGCCGCAGCACACTCATCATTCCACCACGCCGCCTTGCCGTTAGAAACCGGCCCGGGCCTGAAGGCATCACCGAAGCAACCCAGCAAAATCCGTTCGATAGTGTCCACCGCCTGGGTGACACCAATCTGGCCAGCACGCAGGGAATCCACAACCGCCCGGACACCAACCACAGGGGGGGCCTCCGGGTTGTAGAACATGTCTGTGTACCTGTGCGCCTCAGAGACAAGAAACGTCGGCTTGGGTTTACGCGTGGGTGGCCGGTCCGGCCTCCAAACCGACGCGAGGTGAAGGGACACGGGGTTATGATCACTCAAGCGGCGTTCTTCACGGTAAAAAGATTGCTGTGGCAGGACACGGAAGGAACGCACGCACGGGTACAAAGAAGGGGACGCAAGCACAAGGTCAATCATGCTGCCTCCCCCCCGGCTGGACTCGTATGTGAGCCTGCCCTCAGTGTCACCCGGTGCCCGCCCATTGAGAATGACAACCTCTGAAACCCGGCACAACTCGAGCAGTTTACGTCCAAACGCATTATGCTCCTGATCTAGCGACCGGCGGGGCACACCCAGCAGTGCTCTGTATGCCTCGCCGTCCACAAAAGGGCACCCGACCTCCTCTCCTAAATCGTCAAGATAGTCTAGGTCCGGGATGTCGGAGAGGTGAGTAGCACTAAGCAGTAGCACTAAGAAGAGCCGCAGTACGGCACCCGGCAGTAGCCCGGACAGTAAGCTGCCTACAAGGACCTTCACAACGGGTATCCGCTCCAGGCGCCGTAGCTGGCAAACGGAGGGGGCCCCAGTTTACGGAAAAGGGGGGAACAGGGGACCGTCAGTGGAAAGTCTGGCTTTTAGGATTTTAGGGTTCATACGCGACCAAGACCACACATATAAACAACAGAGCTAAATGTTTCTGACAGGTTCTAGAGAAGGGGAGGAGGGTAATGAAGATGCAAATAAATAAAACACAGTTCCTAACATAGATACGGATACATTCTGAAATCGGATGGGGTGAATGGATTAGGGTGCCCCTCTCGCAGGGGAGAGCAGGGCCAACTGCCTTCAAGGGAAAGGGGGCCGCTGGTGTAGCTATACCACCCTGTAACAACATACATACATACTTACTAGTGGTGTGCTGGAAGGGCTGAGGCAGCGGGCATTCAAGGCATGCAGGCAGACAGACGAATAGGCAGAGAGAGATAAACAGGCAGGGAAGCACACAGACAGACACAGTCAGACAGACAGGCAAACAGATAGACAGACAGACAGACAGACAGATAAACAGAGAGACAGACGTACAGTCACACAGAGAGACAAACGTAAAGACAGATATGCAGACAGAAACAGACAGACAGATGGGCAGGGAGAGACATACATACAGGCAAACATACAGAAAGGCAGATGTGCAGCCAAACAAACAGACAGGCAGACACGGTGCGGTTTATAATTAGGGCCGGAGCAAGTACCGCAGGAAGGCTGCAGAGGGAGAAGAGGAAGGCGAGGAGGATTACTAGAACGAGGGCGCGGCGGTAACCCCAAGGTCACGAAAGGGCAATTCTTGCCACGAAAGGACAGCAGTGCTGTGACCGATACTGATGCGAAGAGGGGCTAGGAGTGCTTAATGCCTAGTGACACAATGTGGTACAGCAGTGTGGTACAACCGTGTCGTATAACAGTTTGATACAACGGTTTGGTACAACAGTTTGGTACGACAGTTTGGTACAACAATTTGGTACAACAGTGTGGTACAAGAGTGTGGTACAGCAGTGTGGATGAAGATGACCGCTCGTGAGCATACGAAACGAAGGGGGAGCAGCTTGCTTGCATGTCAACAGCAATTACAATCTATATGCGCCCGGCGTTGCCCGGCATCCCACTAACCACTCTGGGAACCGGCCCCCCTGATAAAAAAGAAAGATAAAAGGTTAATACTTACCTCAAATTTGTCTTGATAGGGTCGCCAATAAGGGTGTAGATATCTTCTGGACAATGCTGAAGTGTAGATTATTACGTCATAGGGTCGTAAACTTTTATCAATTACAGCATATATATCTTATGAATTGCCTAGGACTTACGCGCATCGCAACATCATCAATCCAGCAATCCACCTCTTAAGCAGAACAGAAGAAGAAAGGAACAACACGATTCATTCAGGAAGCCGTAAACCTGCCATAGTATTTAGCGTCCAGCTGCAAAGGCCTGCGGTTTCCGATACTGCCTAAAGCCACTAAAGCCACGGCCCAACATATTCGCAAAACCTGCCATGTCAACACAATAATCAACCTGCCTGCAAAAGTGCGCGCAAGACCATAAACTCTTGTAGAAACGAAACTCATGCAATTGCAACCGACTGCGCAAAATCATTCATTTATTCGTTTCCCTGATCGTCGATATGCCCGGAAAAGGGCTTGGTGGTCAATCAGTCATTCCATCGCACTACCCAGCGGCATGGCGCAGTCTGAAGCGAAGCGCGACTTAATCACATCGAAAACGAGCGAGCAAAACGAGCAAACCGACAATAAAACCACAAACAATAATGAAGGAAAGCCGAAAAAACAACCGCCATTCTACGAGCGATGCTTATTGTCCTGTATCACGTAGTCGGTCGCACCAGGGTAGGCAATCGGCAAACGTAACGGGCACTTGGCCTGCTGCAGATGCCGCTCGTAACGCTTACTAGACGAAGGTGGCTGGGCAGCACTTGTTGTCACCAGAGTATATGTTCACCTGCATGTATGTATGCATGTATGTAATGTGGCGTCAGGCCCAAACAAGACGGGGGCCCCGGACTTGCATGTGTGCATGTGACGAGCTCCAAGTACGTGCCACGGCATTTGTAGACTGCAATGAGCACATGCTTTATCGATGCTACAATCGTATGACATGAGGCATGTGGCTTTATCATTCGCACCTGACACCTGCCGTACAGGCAGAATTTGGCGGGATCTGCACACGCGCCTGGCGCCACGTTCCAGCAGATTTGGGCCCCCACGGGTTGCGGCAGGTACCTGTGGTTTGGGGGGACGCGGCGTGCGTGACTTGGGGTTGCGCAAACACACGTGTCGAATGTCGGAGGAGTTGGGAGGGTATTGCAGAGAGATAGAGCGAGCGGGTGAGAGCCTCCCCACTTACATCGGCAGACCAGTAAATTTCAGCGTAACGAACTCCTCGTAGAACGACCAGCTGTACGAAATCTTCTTTCCGGCAACCCTGATCTCCTGGACAGCTGGCTTACAGACTGAGCTGATTGGAATTTCCACCTGACGGGGAGAGTTGGGGAGGAGGGAATGCTTTCATTATTTTTGGAGTTCGAGGAGGGGAGGGAGGTTAGCAGTGCGGTGCGGTGGCAACGGCTGCGCAACAAAACACACACACCCCCTTCCCCCTCCTACACCACCCCACCTTTCCCACCTTGTCCCCATCCAGCCACCTCCCCAACCCCCCCAACCCCCTACCCCCCCACCCCCACCTTGGCGAAGTCCATGTGGCAGCACGGGTACCTGGGGTCGCAGCTCTGACCGCCCACCGTGAAACACATCGACACGGAGGGGATGTTACCATCCCCCGAAGACAGCGTTGTGGGGGAAATGGAAAAATTGCCAACTGTGTACGGCACACGGCTTGTGTTCTGTGAACAGTACGAATGTGTACGGATAAGAGGTGTCGGGGGCTGCGGAGGTGCCCGTGGTTGCCTGGGTGGCGCCGTGGGGCCAGGGGTCGGTG